CAATAGTAGTTCAGAGGAGACATTTATCCTCGCGGGAATCTTATTTCTACAAATTTTTAGGTTTCCGCCCTGGTTTCAAATATTACACATATGGGTATCCCTTGGAGGTGCACTTCTTTGCATTGTGGTTATGTTCATTATCAGCTGGGCAACGGCGTTGATCACATTTTTCTGTTTTGCTGCTTTGTTCATGTACATATTGCATCGTAAACCCGGTAGGTCGCCTACAATGATCCATAATCCTTACTTATTCGTAAATTCATTTTTTATTATCATTGTCTTGACACAGATGTTAACTGGGGCTCCTCTACACAAGCGCACAGTTACAAAAATGCTCTAGCAGGAATGATAAAGCTGGCTAATACCGAGGAGCACGTGAAAAATTACAGGTATGTTTTACATATTGCAAACAAATTATAGTCGAATTGTAGCGTGCAGATCGAATAGCAAAAAAAAACCTGGGGAAACTCTTACCTATTCCTATCATGGCCATAGCTATGATGAATGTAAGAGCGTAGGCTCGCCTTGGTTCTTCATTTTTCCCGTATCCTTTGGCGAAATACCCAATTTTCGGAAACAGCCTGTCTTTGCACACAGCCTAAATTTTTCTGCAAATTTTTTTGCAAATAAAGAAATTTAACGAGAACAGCGAATATCTTTTAGGTTATCTCTGCTCACTAGTTTTGGAGTCATCAATTTATGCCAAGTAGTAAAAAAAAGAACTTTTAATTGACACAACTTCATCAAGAATTATACTCCACGATCTGTGAGCTGTAGAAAATTAGTAACAGTAATCGCTTGACAATTAAACTTCTATAAGTACATGTAATGGTAAATTATTCAGTAAAAAATCAAAGCGACATTATGAACGAGAAGTGAAACAATATAGGAACGTCATTTGAAAATTGGAACGACATACCTGGAACACTTTGGGAGCGCTGACAAGACTAGCAAGAGCAGAACTAAGAGTTGCAGCAAAGATTCCTGCAGTGATTAACGGCCCCCAGAAAGATTCCATTTCCATGATCTGCAATTGCATATAAATATGATCATTTGAGAAACCATTCCACTACAGGAGTGCATTTAACTTTAAATTATCAGTAATATCAAGAGCATAAATAACGAACCTGGAAGAAGTTCATCAGTCCATAAGGGCACGTGTCGTTTGCTGCACAGTCTGGTGGTTTGAAAACTGTTCCATTCCACATGGGAGGGAAGACTCCGTCTGCATCTCTGAAATTTCCACCTTGAACGAACGCTTTATGAACACAGGCGGCTATGAACTTACACAGTATAAATATGAATGTCTTCCAAGCTTCAAACTCAAACTGACATATATAACTATAAATTCGTCTAAATAACTCGGTGTGGAAGCATTTCAGGGACGCATTCACAAGGGGCCGTTTTTCTGCGCGGGATTAGCGCGAGAAAGAAGAGCAACATTCACGAGGCGCCCTGTCTGAGACAGGCGCGATTACCTCACCTCACATCCCTAATTTCTGTAGTAAACAAACAAATAGCGCAAAGTAGTCTAGGCAATTTATAAGACTTCAATAATTTGATATCAAAACTGCAAAAACTATGATAAACGGTTGGTAGGGTTAGTAGCTGGCAGCCCACATGGGCTGCCACCGGCGGTGTGAACGTGTTTAGTCATGAAGCTCGCGCCTGCTTTGCAGCTCGATAAAAAGATTACGATATTTCCCGCTAAACTATCTCGGTTCAAAAGTACTTGGGGAACGCCGCCTCCTCGTCGCCTTTTTTACCGGCAAAACATTCTTGACCTCTCATCGAATAATGAATGAGATTCGAGAAAAAAAAAGTTGACGTGACGGTTCATAACTACCAAGTTCGCCAAACATTCGACAGGATAGCAAAACAGATCGAGTTTGACCAATGAGCGCGAACGGCAATGAAATGAGAAAAAAACGGTCTTACGATGACCAAAATGTCTAACCGTGCCGAACATCATTAGCATATGCTCCCTCAGATCATTTGAGAAAGACACAACAGAAATATTGCAACGCTTGCAAGAAGTCGCGTGTTTGTAGCTGTGACTTTAGGTCAAAAAAGTTAAGAATCCATAATAAATCGTTCGAGAAGCAGCTTTGCGACATAGCTAGATCTATTGAGCCCTTCTGCGGCTAACTAGGGAACCAAGGCATGTTCTACATAACGCGGGAAGTGGAGCTGTTTTTAACTTTTGTGGGATCGGCGATGAAGTTCTAGACCAGAAAAAGATTGAGCCAAAAAAAAACTAAACTGAAGAACACACTAAAAACTGGTATAAGGCAAACATGAGCAAATTTGAAGTAAAAAGGCATAACATCAAAAGTCTTAATATGTAATCCAACACAAAAAAAGCCCAAGAAGACCAACTGCGGTGCTTACGAAACTTGGATAGGTGCAGCTACACCACCCGTCTAACAGCCGTACTGTCTCTACCGGCGTCGGGGCAAACAGGTGAACAGTCTTCCGTAGCTATGCAATTACTTTCACTACCACTTGCATCGCAAATGCCATAACAGTGACTTAGTTATCCAAATTAAAGGTTAGAATGGAACAACGAAGGATCGGTCCATGATTTCTGAGCCACTTTACTGCTTATTATTATTGTTAATACCTATAGGGGATTATTAAAACTTTGCAACGTATTCCTCAAAGAAGCGGAGGGATGCTCACTCGATCCAAAATGCGCGATTTCGCTATGTTCAGAATTGGCTTTTTTAATTTAAGGATTATCCACTTTGCAACTACCTTTCAAACTAGTCATTATTTTTCGGAGCCGCTTCTGGATCTGCTAACATGCCAGTACTGAGACGTTCCCAAAGAGTGCTAGATTCGAAATTATGGAGTTTGTGTCTCACATACTGAGCCCCGACTAGCCATACACGATCTGACATCGCCATGTTCCTGATGGTTCCCATAGTTCTTTCTATTGACCATCCAGCGAATTTACTAATGATGTGGTCTGGGTGCAGTTTCTCATGAATACATGGAATACAAGAGGAGCTTTGCCTAGAGGACCGACACCCAATAGCAAAAGAATCAGTGATGGTGACAAAAGTCAACAGATCAAAGGCAAAGGATTACGATAGATTCAAGAAAGATTTATAGGAGACTGGTGGTGCTCAGTGGTACGGCAGTAGCGAAACAAGCGGAGAAATCCGTCAAGGAAAACGCAAAAAGGACCCCTTTTTTGGCCGTTAGTTCTCACTCATGAACAGGTAACAGCTCAGAAGGCGGACGTATGAACGAGAGTTCAGCGCAATGCGTTTGGTGACAGCATGCCAATCCATGCTACAGTCGAGTTGCTTTAGTTGTGCCGCTGCTGGCAACGCAGCTCGTCCAAATCACCAACTAAACCAGTGGGCGGATCGCTTTTGGGAACGGAGTGCTTTCTTTCAAGTCCTGCTCAGCAACAGCGAACCTTGCATCGTGAAAAAAACTACACCTCGCTCCTGGCAGCCAAGTAACTGATTCGTGTGGTGTATATGCTTCCGCGATGCGCTCCCACTTTATCGTAATCGCTGCCTTTAAATGACAGGGCCTCCAACTGAAAGCAAAGCAATACAAAGTCCGTTTTCGAGTGTCGTTCGACCCCGCCCTGCAGAGGATGTAAAAGAACAAGCCGCTGGAGATGAAAGCAAATTCGGATAGAGCAAGCTTGTAGTAAATAAGAAAAGACCATAGAAATGTGCGACAGCTTATGCGACATGATGCCGAAACATAACTGATAATCGGAACACGAACAACCAAGACAATTCTCAGGCAAAAGCGAATAAATGACAAAAACAAATCACAAAGTAACTTTTGAGTTGTTAATGAAGAAAGAATTATTCAAAAGCTACACCTGACGCATGTCGACCCTGTCATCCAAACTGTCGCAAGATAGATCGTCGTCGTTACAGCTATGGCAAGAAGAGTTCCTATCGGGATATAGCATGCTGAAACTAGTCATTATTTGCTCAAAGGGAAGGTGAGGAAATGGATATTAAATTGTTCTGTCCAAATTTTCTGAAAGGAACTCATGAAATTCAATTTCATAGTAGCTTTCAAAAGTGAACAAGAACTTCGCACTCGTAGTGAAGCTCTATTAACCCATTGCGGGACGCGTTGCTTCACCATGGGCAGCCCGCGATCACTGAGAGAGACGATAGCAATCTCGAATTGTCTTCAAATCTTTGTTCGGCTTGCAACTCATCAGCATACGTTTTTGGACACAGAATAAGCATATATATTGTATATGGGTCATTGAAGTTATTGGCCACTGATAAAATAGATGACAAAAACCTACGGAGGTGCAGTTATAACGGCGGTCCGCAATGGGTTAAGAGGTTCTCAATCACTGTCAACGAGAACAAAATTTGAACTGTGTAGCATTCGATAATTCTGAAAAATGGAAAAGAAGCAATACTGAGATCGCCAGGCATCGCACTTATGTTGGCGCCCAGCCATGAGTTGCCTGTGGCCTGCAGGAAAGTGACAGCAAACACTGAGAAAAAGTCTTCTCCACCTCGAAAAGCTGGTAAGAAGTTTTCCGTGAGTGTCGACACTGCAATCAACTACAAACACTAAACATCTACATTGTCTCGTGAAGTACAACAACAATTCAGGTTCGAAAATGGGAAGGAATGCTCTAGATGGAGTTCCAGGAAAATTCTGACTTAAATTATTGACAGTTTTAAAAGTCTTTTGCTGAACTTTCAATGGCAAAGTTTTGGAAGCGTATGCTGAGCTGTGTTAGGCGAAGACTTGAATCCGGACCACATAACTTCTAGGCAGGTGCCAGATTGTACCACCGACACACCGCGTCGCAGATTCCAATGGTGTATTCATCAATTTTATGATTGAAATAAAAGGATAACGAATTGGAATGAAAAGCTTGGATTGGAATCAAGTGATTGGAATGAAAAACCGCTCACAACAAAGCTATACTTACTATGACAGCTCACTTCTTAAGGAAGAACGAACTTATGTAGGCAGAACTGTCGCGCGGAAGATTACCCAAAGTAACGGCAATGGTTATGCTTTGATTATACCCATTTTCTATTCTACAGTAAGGGAGTCGGGCCAGCTTTAAGAACATATCGGATATGAAATACCGCTGGAGGCAGCCGCTTTAATGACTGAGGATGGCTTGTACAGAACGATACAAAATGGCCCAAAGATATCGAAGTGGGTTTGTTAACCAAGATGGATTTTCGCCCATTACTTCTCCCTTTTGACCAATTCGCTTCTTTTCTTTCGTTATTTTCTGCTTTTTTTTCGTAACTCAGTGGTAGGGTTAAAAAATAGGAAGCACGCTTCACAGGTATATTTTAGCCGTGTTTAGAGAGTCAAGTGATGCACGAAAAACCGTATTTCACCAATATCTCTGAACCATGCCAGCTATCTGATCACCGCCAGAATTTGAAGTCAAAGGTGGAATTACGAACAATTCCCAATAATAACTACCAGAAATATTCGAGAAAGAGAAAGGATGAGAATCTTAACTTTTCCGTCTTTGTATCCAACCAATCACCAATGTCGTTATTGCGTCTTATAAACACTGAACATCTTAGAGATGCGAAACACTTACAGCTGTATCCTGTTGCTCCTCGTACTGCCATCTCTTCGTTTATTGGGAGGGCTGAGCCAATCATATAATTGATGATCGAGGCCACAAGTATTACAAGCAAGCCCATCTGCATTTTCGATTCGAATTCCGTTCCGATAAAAACGATGCCCATTAAAGCTATGCACGTCACTAAACATCAATGCTTAGAGAATAAGCCGAGAGGTCACAAAAAAAGTTCTTGTTGTAACTGACACCAAGCGAACACAAAGCGAACAAAGACGCGCACCAAATCCAACTATCCGCACGTCCCACATATCAGCATCGATGACTTTCAGACCTCCTTCTTTTAGAAGATCTCGTACTGTTTCAGCGAACCCAACAACATACATGGCTGCACCAACTGCATTCGCCACAGAAAAGATCAAACCAATAGATCCACCAAATTCTGGTCCTAGTGAGCGAGATATCTAAAGTCTCTGTAACGCTCACCGAAAACCGTGACAATGATTGCAAGCAGAATGATGAGGTTTTCAACTATCAATCATAGCAAAACCTACCAAAAAATAGGCTCCACCGCCTTTAACGTCACCGTTAGTGCAAATAGCGCATGTAGAGATGGCGGTGATAGAAGTGACAACTGATGCCAAAAGCACAATCATTGAACCAAGACCTGAAAAAATATCATTCTATGTAGGAAAACACACTGCGATTGCGTTGAGTAAAGGAAATTCAAAGAATGATTTAGGTTGTCATTCATTTTACACGTGACGACGAGCGTATTTTTCCTTGTCGCGCGCATGGGACGAGGCGTTTTTTGCATGCAGAGCGCCGGTAATTACAAGGCAAAAGTTATTTTGTAGCTCGCCAAATCTTGAAATATAGAAAATGCTTTTGACTAGAAAGCTCCAGACACATTTACAAGCAAAGGAAAGTTGTCAGTACTGAATGTTTCATGAAATTTCAGTGACATTGCCTGACATCATCAAAACTTGGTAGGAGATTGATAGAAAGGAGGAATTCCACGCAATCTTTCTTTTTGTTATTAGAATGAGTTTTCCTTTCTATGGAAATTGGTATTTTACTCGCATCTAGTATCTCCTAGATGCAAAAAAAATCTGCTGCCCAACGAAATGACGCCTCTGTTTGACTGTTAGTTTGCTTTCATGATCAGATAAGGCGGCAGAATTGATTCAAACGACTCAATTCAAGATCAGAAAAATCGCTAGAGAAAGAATCCGGACACCGAGGGGCTAAATGGGTACTTTTGCGCTTGACTACGAGTGAAAACGTGCCTACTTGACCATCCAAGCCACATCAGTTTCGAAAGGCTGGAAATGGGGTTCTACTGACGGTGACATCATGATGAAAGGTCGATATGAACATCTTTGATGACATTTTCACACTTCTGATAGTAGAGCCTTCGTGGCTGTAATTCAATTGGCAGCGCATTTTTGCAGTTGACAAAGAATACGAGAAAAGAGTTCCTGCAATTAGAAAGATCACGGGTCGCAGCTGAGTATGGTATCTTAGGACCCTAAAGTAACTATCGAATATAGGAAAAGTCGCAGGTATCATTTAAGTTTCCTTGTCTCCAAGCTGTCGGTCACCATTGACCGACATCGTCCCATGGGACAGACTGCCTGTCGGCCACCATTGACCGACATCGTCGTCAACGTGTTAATATAAGTCTGAGACCTGTCGTGGTAGTGGCCAGCAAGCATGTACGCCAGGTACGGCTGTCGAACCGTATACACGACAAGCCATTTCATTTCTGCTGTCAGTCGATAAAGATTCGAACATCTTTCCACAAGATTTCCTTTCACGCTCGTCTTTTCTTGAATTTACTCCTGCCTGCATACTCCAGAACCCCTGATAACTCTTGCCTTGCAAACATACTGACTGGGAGTACATCAGTGGGCGGTAACTGGGTATGCACAAAAAAAATGCGTGAATATGCAAGAGTTTCATCCGGGTTCTATCCTATCCTTCCTCATGCTAGGAGAAGAAAAGATCATTTCAACTTTTTTGGTCTTCAATGGCAGTTTTCTTAGCTCCAGTGCATGTTTGCTTTTACACACATACAAGCAAGAACAGCAGGCCATTTCTTGGTTCTTTTGTTGGGAAAACAGAAAATTTAAAGGATTTCTTCTTCTGGGGCGAAGGATAGGACAGTGCTCCACACATTGTGGCGAAACATTATCTATTTTAGGAAACTTTGAAGGCGGATTCTGCAAT